TCAAACTCACATGATCCCCTCCATATCATGCTGGAATCACAGCCCAACTCATCGTTTCCCATTGGGATTCTTTTTCGAGCGATGGCCTAGCTTACGCTCGACGTGATTCGATGGCCTCCTTAGTGTTGTGTTGTCAAATCCATCTCTGTTGTCTTTTGCATATTTTTGGTGAGCCATAGAATCTTAGTTGGTTTCTTCACAGAGTTTCTTGTTGCTAATTGATTCTGACTGGCAGTCTCATCTTCAATATGGAGTCAGCAAAGACCTGTTGGAAATGCCTTTTTATGAAGCGCCAAGTTAAACTTCATGAAAACTGACTCTTGTGTATGGTTTGCGTTAAATAATTCATAGTTGTTTGAATGATACATTTCCCTTAATTGGAAAAATTGCCAAAATGTAGGGTTTTCTTTATTTTGCGATGTGATTTTCCCGTCGACTGTTTGGACCGAAGTGCTCGGTCTCAGGTTGACATGTCGGCTTCCGGTGCAGATGCTTCGACGATGTCTGGGGATTTGATTTGTATACAATTGGTGGATGGTGGCTAGCAGTGGAATCCAGGATGCGCATTTCGTCCTATTTGGGACTCGTCAGCTGGATGTACCTGCATTTCTCAGTGAGTGATGACGTTCCCACCGAGGCTCGAACCCAGTGCCCATAGTTTCAAACGCCAAAGCGTTATCCACTAGACCACTTGGGCCACGAGAGCCACCTCTTGTGCAACGGGTCATATGAATTATTCAAATGAATTTTGGATTTTCCCGTCGATTGATTGGACCGAAGTGCTCGGTCTCAGGTTGACATGTCGGCTTCTTGTGCAGATGCTTCGACGATGTCTGGTACATCCAGCTGACGAGTCCCAAATAGGACGAAATGCGCATCCTGGATTCCACTGCTAGCCACCATCCACCAATTGTATACGTATCAATAATATTTACAAACATTTTGAAGGGAAATGGTTGAATGCTTTATCTACTTTCCTTACATAAACTTGAGTTTAGCCTCTGCCAATAGAATGAATGGGAAAAACTTCATTTTTGAAGGGTTTTTTCATGGTGATACCAACCAAGAGTTAGACTGTTCATTAATTGTCTGTTATAGTGATCAGCAACTCTATCTGTTATGCTTTGTTCTCATTAAAACATACCTCGGCATAACAAACGAGATGCTAGGTGTCCATGGTATCTGATCATATTAGCACAATCTACCTTTAAAATCTGGCAAAATGAATAAGTCGCTTAATGTGTAACAACAGAAGACAAGGGCCAGGCAACAGATCCTTTTATTACGAAAATCAACACGTATTTATATATATTTCACATACATTATTATAGCTTATGCAAGTAGAAAAAGCGCAGTCATCTGATTGGTTGCAGACAAACGCAGGCTTCTGATTGGTTGTTTCGGGATTCCTTGACAAATAGAGTTCTCTATCTGCGAATCATATTTTACCACGTTAACTTTGCTGTGATTGGTTGTTGAATCAGCCTTGTTCATATTTTCTCACGGCCCATATTAGTGACCTAGACATTAACGTAGATTAGTGTCAACCAATCGGCTAGCAGCCTGCTCTCACCACAAATGGGCCAATAAACCTTCCAAGTTTATGGAGATTAGTATATTCATTACTCATTCCAGCTTAGACCTAAATAAAGTTTTATGTCTTAATCAAGAAAGAATTATTCTGGCAATGACAACGAAGTGTGTAGAACATAACGCTTGTAAAGTACGATTCAACCCTCTCGATTAGGATTTCAAAAACAATTAAAAATTGTTAAGGTTGCAAAAATTCGTTTGTAATACGGAAAATACATTCATACCTTGCCTCACAATCGCATCATCATGTCTCTTTGAGAGCTTCTTCACTTATGTCACAATTTAGCGTTTTACGGCTGAATACAGCCTCATTTTCACAAATAGATGCTAATTTTTATTACCATTGCACCCGTTGTTCTCATGGAAGTCAATGAAGAATTGTTGACTGTGGAATAATCCTGTTATGTTGATCTTCTCTAGGTAGCAGATTAAAGAGAGGAGAGATTCGACATAAGCGTAAAGCTTAAATCACAGAAAACTTCTTTCGAACTAATTTCTAACACTAAATCGCTGGATTGCTACCTTCAGCACTAAGTCATTTGATGATTTTAGAATTTCTAAGCACATTTGTATTTGTACCAGGTGAAAGCTAGTAAGCACAATTTCTAATTACTGCATAAAGAATGGTACAAAGTTATTGTTTCCCCAAAGCCACAAGTTGGCAGAAGGAGCATCCAGGGAAGATAGGCCTTCAGGTGAATATGGAGAAAACAGAAGAGATGATGAAGTTTCCTGCCGGCCAGCAGCAACAGTAACAACAACAGACAACAATCAGCCAATATAAATGGAAGAAATCTAAAGGAGATAACTCCTTCATCTACCTACGTGGGAAGCACCGTTTCAACTACAGGCAGGAGGAACTGATAAATATATCAAATCACCGAAGATCGGCAAAGCAAGGCAAACCTTCATTACTCTTACCAGGTCTGTGTAGAGATCAAAAGCACTCAGCATGCAAAATAAGATGCTGATTTTGAACTCAAATGTAAAATCAGTGCTACTGTATATGGATCAGACTTGGCGCCTCTCCGCGTCACGAACTTCGAACAAAGTACAGACTTTCATCAACAGCTGTCGTCGCTTAATACTACTCAGGATCAGATGGCTGGCCAGCAAACCTCACCAACAGGGATCTCTGGGAACGATTGAACCAACACACCAGGAACCAACTGTGCAAAGATTTCTTCAGGAAGAAATGGATTTAGGAGCAGAAGAAAGCCAGTAGCTGTTTGATCACAAACTAGATCCAAAATTAATTGAGTAACATGAGTAAATTCATATTTCACTTGCAATACAGTTATCCAACTATCTATCTATCAAAGAGTAGACTGAGGTAACTTATTTTTCAGAAGTGTTCGTGTCGGCGGCACAGTGGTTGAATGCTAGCCAACCACGCCTCATGTTGTCCGGAGTTAGATCCACGGCCGGTTCACTCCTTTACCCCGCTAAGCCAGTAATTGTTTTTTTGATTTACAGCTTGATTCTACACTGTATTTTTTGGTACAAGTATGGAATTTTCAACATGTGATATCGGTAGCCCAAATTTTGCAAGCCAACCATAGATATCTGGTGTGCGTCGGTAGGGGATCAAACCTCAGACCATGTGCATGGTCGGCGAGAGTTCTAACCACTGTGCCACCGACGCACAAATCGCTGGCTCCGGAGGGGATTGATAAAGAGGGAAGGTTGAATATGAGACTAGCAACCCCTTCCTAGAAAAATAAACACCCCTACTACCGAAACTTCAAGCCTCTCGCTTGAGGCCTCTCGCCTATGTTCCACTAGGGAACCTAAATGAATAAAAAGAAAATTTTTAAAAGTATAAGGTTTATTCATCTAATAGTTCAGCGATCAAGGTGAATTATTCTAAAATTCAAAGATTAAAAGTTAGTTTACTTCCTAACCATTTATCCTTAACAAATTCTGAATAATCAGAACATGTAATATAAAAGTAGTGAGTTGGTTATTTAGTAAGAGAATATTAATTGTATACCTGATAAATGTCAAATCTAAAATCCCGCTTTTTTTATCAGTTAATAAATATAAAGAATTTGTCAACTAAAAGTGACTCATTCTGTTGAATACTTTTTCCAGTAACGCCTAGTAATTTAGCAAAAATGTTACACCCTAGTAGTATTTTTTTCACCAGTATCGTTTGACTGTCACAAGAAGTGAAAACAACTGAACCACATTACAAAAATCATGATCATGTCGTTGCGAAACAGTTTCAAGCCATTGAAACTGATTATTAGGGATACCTTGACATTTCTTTTCACGTTTACGACATAATATACTCAAGGGGCCATCTAGACGAGGAGATTTGAACTTCTGTTACCCAATCTTGAAATTGAAGGTTCAGGTAAATTAAACCATTGACTGGTAGTAAACCTATAGAAATTAAAATCTTAGGAGGGGTTCTAGGGATCTCGCAAACATACAACCACGGCTATAACTTCAAACCTCAAGGATTGATGCCCCATATATTCCACTCATAATTCAAGGAATGGAGAAGTTCACTTCAACAACTACTGACGAAAAGTACTAGGGGAATAAATATACAAACTAGGAATCGGTCAGCCATTGATGTAGTCTACAGGGATGCCCTACCAAATCATGCAGTTAGGGATCCACGTGAAATGTGCCTTATATCTTCTTCATAAGTTGTCTGTGTAATTTCAAAGGAGATCATAATGTTGAACTCTGTCCAGTGAAAAGCATATACTATCAATGCTTGTTTTGCTTTCGTTTGATAAATGCAGTACACTCTTATTTAAACCACTATGATGTATTCCTGAAGATCTTTTATGGAATTCAGCGGTTAACTTCCATATCTTCAGTGAGTTAAGGTGAGAAGATGTCTGTTCAACTTACGCGTAAGGTACATTACTACTGTCTTAAAAAGATGATAAATTCACCCTCTGGTTTACACAGAATAATACCTCTGAAATTCTAAGGTGTAGGAATGAAACACGCTGTTTCGTTTTCAACTACTACTCCGTTTAAAATTCGCTGATTTTCTAAAGTAGTTTGAATTGTTTAACTATTATCATGTTCATTGTTCAATATGTTGTCATAGTTGCATGTTAATGTTGTTGTGTTCAATTTTAACACATATTTCTCTCATAGTAGTAGACATATGTACTCTGAATACTCTATACATAAATGTTGTAAATTAGACTAGTTGGTAGTGAACGTTTTTTCGAAAAGTTTAATTATATTACTTTTGTAGCTGTAGAAAGTAGTATATATATGTATATTTGTTATTTAACGTTCATGTAGTTCTTTTTGTAGTGAATAGTCATTTATAATTTCGTTTTAAATATTTTGTTCTTTCCGTCTATTTCTCTGAAATCTTTATTTTCATCTGTGAACTAAATTTAAACAATAACAATAATGACAATAATTAGACATCTAAAGTGGCTCTACGCGATGTTGGGAAAGTGATCAAAGCGTTGGTTGGCGACTTCTATCATCCATTGTATCTGAGTAAAGAATTTCAAGCTAAATTGATGCCAGAGAAACGGCTTGAAGGTGCAGGTAAGATTTGTTTCTTTGTTGTTTTTTTTGTAAAACACATTTCATATACTACTTAAGTATGGTAAATGAGTAATATTACTAAAATGACAAGATGAATGTTGTTTGCGTGGAGAATCTTAGTTTCAAATAAGTCTCATGTAGTAATAATTGCTCTGGTGATTGAAAATGTATCAGTCAGCTTTATATTAGAGATGCATCTCAAATTATATGACATCTAATGTGACTATAGGAGAGGTTTCATAGAGATTCCAATCACTATTCTAATGAAGAGTTATCTATAAAATATGCCAGACAAAATCACACGTGTAAACTTGGCTGCATTTTAATATACTTCCAAGACACATACTCCTTAGAAGATTAACTGCGAGACAATTACTAGAAAGGGGAAGTTTCAGCAAAGTTTAGTAGGCACGAATCTGTCTCTCAAAGTGTTCGAGGTGAACACAGTAATAGGACAAGGTTCCATACTGTAACTTATAATCTCCATAACTGTGGAGGAAGTGGTTTATACAACAGATTGTGAGAAGTGGAGAAATGGGTTTGTGCTTAACTGAACAGAAAATCCCAGAAAATCCATACTCCACAGTTTATTTACGTCTAGTGTCATACACGCTAAACCAACAAATTCTCAGAAGAAGCGGCGAAGACAGAATTTCAGGTGAACACATGGAAAACAATAACAAGCACCAGTTTCCATCAATTGGGTAACTTAAGATAAAGCCGTCTTTTTTAGTAGGTCCCACAGGAGCCTTTCAACTACAGGTGAGTGACATGGCTGAAGATGTCAGATCCACTCCTAAATTAGTGTACGGATCTCTAAAGCGTGGTCAGAAAAGATAAGTAACGAGGAAACTTGTCAGTGCACCAATGAAGATTTTACTTATTCCACAAACATACAGAAGGGAACGAAGATGGACTGGAATATACACAGAGGAGAACGTTGAGTAACACATCATAAGTCAGGCTCTTGTGTTAAACCTGAACGGAAAGTGTCAAGTTTGGTACATGTCCTAGAATGATATGGACAAGACTGTGTAAGCAAGAAATGAAAGCCTCAGGCGTAGCTGAAAGAGACGACTGAGAACAGAATACAATAGAGATGTTCAGTTAAAGGCTTATGTTGGACTCTAAACTCAAGGGATTAACAGTCATAATTTCACTGATCCTACATTAATCAAACATTTTTGGGCTAAGACTATGAGATATATATATTTAATGAGTTGTAAGTGATGACAAAAGTGAGGACGATGATCAGAAGTGTAGTGGGATTTAAATCAATGGTAAAAAAGCTTATTTTGATGTAGCTCAAATTATTCTGTTGACTTTATTCAGTCTACCGAGGTAGAGGCTGGGAGTGAACTTGTGCTGTCTCCATTTCGGTTAACAAATTACCCATGAATAGAATTTATCCGACTGATGAAATCTATTAGCCTACAATAAACTATATTCTTCCAAAATCCATACTGATTTCTGAAGTTTAGATTCATACATACAAAAACTGTGGTTCCTAAATGTAATAAATAGTATTAATAATCACTTTAATTCAGACTATTATATTAGATAACAAATATTTTCACCGCGTTCATACTGTCACAAATTTACTGCTTTTAACAAAAAAACGAAGTCTACAATCTGTGCTAAGGGATTCAGGGACAGTTATTATGCTGTTTTCTATATGAAAAACACGAGAAGCGATAGTTTGAAATATATGAATAAAAATCTCCTCAGTGGCACTCGCTGAGGAGGCCTCTGGATGACATCGCACATCAGGCCCTCGAGTGAAACCCGAAAGGGAAGTGACGAGTGGGACGTTCAAGTGTGACATGGAGGAGATCGTGCGAAAAGAAGGTGAAACAGTATGGACTAACATGGACGCAGGTGAAAAGCACAGCAGAAGACAGAGGCAAGTGGAACATACGGCTTTAACAGTAGATCTCCATTTCACCATATTATCTGCAGTCTTTTTTATCTGGGTTCATGACTGTCCATAAGCTCTTATCTCCTCATTGTCACCTTCGACTGCGTGTCCAACCCACTTTTTCTCAATTAGGTTTCATTTGATGGTTTGTCTGGTGCACGATGTCATTCAACAGTTCCGATGCAGTGTGACCATTCCCTCTCCATTTCTTCCAGCAGATTGGTTAATCAATACGTCCTTAGACGGTTGGCTTGTCCCAACAGTTCTTTATTGTGAATCATTTCCAGTTAGCCATTTGATCTTTAGTATGGAGTTAGTAAAAGTGGCATTTACTTGTAAAAATTTGCATTAACGAGCCAAATCTCTTGCCTGTGTTGACGCTATTTGTTGATAACTCGAATTTTGTTTGTTATTGTCATAGAATTCAAGTTGCCAAAATAGTGAATGTTTTTTTGTTTATCACTGGTGGACTTAGTGATCCTGCTACTTTCAGGTGGAATGTTTTCGTTATCTTTTTATATTTTCCCATCTACCCTGATTATTAAGAATCATAATATGGTTTAAATAATTTAGAGATAAACAGAATATTTTATTTCCCGCAAGTTAAACTTCTTAAATATATATATATATATATATATATATATATATATATATATGATAAATAGTAGATAATTCCATTATAAGTTTAGGGTCAAACAAAAGATTTTGTTTACCCGCAGTTTATTAGTTGATAAACAATTGCAAAATTATCATTAGAAGTTTTTTCTTCTTTGAATACTTTTTATTATTCAAACTTCTTGATTCCTTCAGTCAGTCAGTTACTCAGCCAGTTGGTCAGTAAATTCATCGATGGTGGTGTTTAGTTTTTTTTTGTTAGTAAACAGTTGGGGCAGTTTGTTTTTGCTTTAATTCATGAGACTGATAAATTCACTTTGCTCATTTGAAACATCTGTCATACACAAATAAACAAACTAAAAAAAAAGTCTCATGAACTCACTCAGTGATTTATGTGAGAATCACTTGCACATACACTCAGATTGTAGGCTTTCTTTGTTTACGCGGGATTTTTTTTTAAATATTCATTGGTAATTAGTTGTTTATTCTACTGAGTGAATTGCCTAATAATAATAATAATAATTAAGGGTTGGTTTTTGAGATTGGATATGAAATGAACTATGAATTGCTACAATGAGTTATCAAATTTGTTACATAGAAAACGGGATATTTATGTGTGTTAGGGTTGTATAGAAATATCACTGTCGACTTTTTAACAATGCCAATGTCGAATGAAGACTCATTTAAAAATCACTGAGGATCTACTAACAGCTCTCTTTTCCTAATTATGGATTCTACTTTTACTCCTTAGAATCCGATACCTCGGGGGGTGGGGTGGGGGTTTACTGCTACACTCTTCCGTTAGCCACCACAATCATTGGTGAATATATCTTCGTATTGTTGACGTAATAAGTCCCAGTGGTCACAGATTCTCTGTACAGATTTCATTCATCTCGTAAAGTGTGTTAAATACCAAAAAGTAGCTGTAACGACTCATTGTGTTGTAAATGTAGGGAATCGATTTTTTGGCGTTCTACTGCAAAGTTGATCTAACACTCCTTGAGTTACTCATAGTTATAAAAATGCTTCAACGACAGTAAAAACAGATTGCCATTTTCAATAAAGTTTAATGAACTATCCTACAAGGATAAAAATAGAAGAAGATAAATCAGATTCACAATATCTTCATTGGTTAGCAATTTGCATCCTACTCATTGAGAGTGGTAAGATTTCAGTGTGGTTTTCATTGGGAACCAAGTTATTCAGATCAAAAATATGATCTGCTCGATAGCACGAATAATAATCAACAAAGCAAGCATATTTGAGTAAAACTACATACTAATGAATGATCAAGATGAGTATTTTGCATACACGGGACTGCCAAACAGCTCATTCGGGGCCAAACTCCTCACCGGTGGACTGTGTAGTCTACAGATTGTTGACCAATTTACAAATTGAGTATTAAATTTATGGTATGACCAGTTCGCCTAAATAGCCAGATGGAAATTTTGCAGTTTGAAGTGATTTGGCTCTCTGATCGAAGACAAAGTGGGCCCACCGTTGTTGAGCTCAGCCAAAATTGAGCAAAGTGGCCGTCCGATGGTTAGATCATTTGATATGAGTAATATTCAACTACTCATATCAGTTTATCAGTAGTATGTAGCACATCAACGATGCCGTTTCGATAGCTATACAGTTAAGCGAACGCCCTAAGTACGAAACAAATAATTAGAACCAATTAGAATATTCCCAGTAAGGTAGGGCTGAAACTTTATCGACGAGTATCACACACGACAACAGTTCCACAGACAATCCCATGTCAAAATCACCTGCATTCACTCCAACCAAAGCGCATCCTAAAACAACACATTATCAGTGTATCTCACAGTTACAAGTAGAAGTATAAACATAAGAGACTAAACTGGAACAAAACCAAGTAATAAGGATTGAGTCAGACGATGATTTGCTAACTTCAAAGCAGTAATAATATACAGTCTAGCAGAAAAACAGATAATAACCACAAAGTGAGTTGAAATAACCAAATAAGTAATAATAATGCAAATGAATAGTTCAGGAGTGACTTTCTAAACAATGATTTCGTTACAGTATGGGAAGAATGTCACTGCTAAAGTTTAAACAAAATAATATAACATTAGTTCTATAAAAATATACAAAGCTCTCTATTTATTATCTAACTGTAACGACACCGATTGTTGTTCATATTGTCTGTGCTTCGATTGGATTTCCATCCGACCTACTATCCGAATGGTTAATCATTTGGTGTGATGGAAAATGATTGGCGAGACACTGATATCATCACCTGTCTCAGGTTTGATTAAAGGATTATTATCAGTTAGAGAAACACTATTTCGTAGCATTTTGTAACTCAGTATCAGTATGCGCCCATCGGCTTTTGTACCCAAGACCTTCCAGCATTTGGCAACCTTAGAGATCATCTAGTTAGTGTGACCTAACTCACTGACTCATGGTTTTCAATGGTTCTCTAACTGATATCAACTCGTGATCAAACTGAAAAAAAGTGACAATATCATCATTTTTTAACCCTTATATTTGATACTACTTAAATAAGTTATCAGTAGATTTGATTACTGATATATTTTTTACGTTAGCAGTTGTTAAATGTTACCCAAAATAATAATCTTCTCAAATTTAATAATTTCGCTTTGAATATACTTCATTTATGTGTTTTTCTTTCTTCTTTTTTCCGAATACTTCTTTTTTGTTTCTCTCATTTATTATGGGTAAAATGTACTCGCTGAATAACCTTGAATGTATATGTATGAAATGCATGCTTAACCAAACGGTATTAACGCTCTCGGCTATGTATATGTACGTGTGTTTGCGTGTGTGTGTGTGTGTGTGTGTGGATATATGATCTGATGGTGGAATGCTTCATAATTATTACTAATCTACATGTGTAATATACATAACAACATGTATATATATATTTATCCTTACTTGGTATATATTTTTGGTATTCTGCTCCTATGGTGCATTGAATGACATAACTAACATTCCGCTAACATGAATTACTATGGCAACTGAAAATTATATGCACAATTATTCCGTTGGGTTGGGTTTGTGTGGGGTGGATGGGATGATATAATACCTTGAAACACTCCCTACTCAAAATTGCCTTGCGTTGTATATAATAATATGTGTTTGCGTGTGTGTGTGTGGGTGGGTGGGTGTTTTAACATTTGCTTGCCTCTCTTTTCTTTTATCTGCTTATACTCATTGTATACATGCATCAATTGCATGTGTGCGTGTGTGTGCGTGCGTGCCCGCGTGTGAATTCATCTATATCTATACAATATATATATACCTCGTTATTGAAACTGTCTAACAAATACGCCTAGATATTCGTGAATGTTTACTACGTTCACGTAAGTATAAAAGTAGTCGTAATTCTAGTATATGCTCCTCATCAATGTCATCATCAAATAATCATGGTGCTATATGTCCAAGAACACTTGGTTTAAAAGAATGTGTACGCTTTATTGATCATGGAGAAGATTATGAGTTTGTCAATACAAATAATTTCAATTCTACCATTGATACTGGATTTCGTAATCCAGCATTTTTAGAGTGGGATAAAAATAGTAAGAGATTAATTTATAGTGTGAATTTGTTTGATTGTTTCTTTTTTCTGTTGAATTATTTTACTATTTATTCAATTCAAATGACATATTCAATGTATTTTTATGTTCAATGTGATATTTGTTTAAATGGTAGGCGCATATTTGGCGCGAAATATGCATTTATCATCATTCATTCATCAATTCCTGGAACCAAGGTAAGGAATATTGTTCTGTTGACAACTTTTGACCGGTTTCACAGACGTTTAGGCATAAAATCGAATGAAATGATTGGAAGATTCTCCAGTTTTTTTTTGTCGCTCATTCACTTTAAAACGAAGTAGAACGCCAAATTTCAAACCATCTAGTTGAAAGCGTACTTAACCTGGGAAACTCATGATGACATGTATCATTTTATTTATTATCACTGAAACTTTGACTCTCATAAATCAGAAGTAGCACTAACCACACTTATGTCTTAAGATGACTTTTCGATCCCATAGTCCACGGTCAGTAAGAAAAACAAAAACAGGGAACACAGAGCTTCAAGCACTATGAGCAATGAATATTTCGTAGCAAGGGTGTTTTTTTTCAGTCAATGTGGTCACTAGCCTTATTCTCAAACCTTTCTTCTTTTCCTGAGGTTTAGGAGTGTATCGTTCAGAAACTCAGACCCTGATCTTTGGCGTAGCTGATGGTTATTCTTTCATTGAACTACTGATACCACACCATTTACAACTGCCCCGTGTTTCTCACTATGAGAGTCTATTTTTGTAATGAATCAGAGGTTCACTTCTCAGTGCATTTTAGCTTGAACTAGCCTTTCAGGCACACCGACCCTATCTAAGATATTTTTAGTCCATATAAGCATCAAATTAAACGGGAACTAAATGTACAGAATTTGAGAGAAAAGATTCCAGCAGTAAGTGTGTATGACCTGTCACTGAGCATTGTTAGTTGTGTTATAATTCTAAATTATTTATAAGTGATAGAGGTTCTTAGTGAGTTGTCGGTGTACTTTTCAAATGATGTTTGGTAGTAACAAAGAAACTAGAGGAAACACAAAATTGTAAAAAAATGGACTATGCATGGGTTTCTTCACCACAATGCGTAAATCACAACACTCTTTAGCTACCACTTCATAAGCGGACTACACAAATCCGACAGCATAGTTTTGTTAAAAGCGGGATCGAAGAATCATTTCAGGTACACAGCCAGTTAAAGATTGAAATCTTTTAAGATTTGACCGTCTACACTCTCTACTTAGTCGGTTCTGAGAAAACTAACTAACTAACTACCTAACTAACTAATTTACTGAATTGAGAAGTTATCTAAAAGGCTGAAATTTGAATATCATTTCAGAATAGGATGCAGTAAAAAGGTCCTTCCATTTCAAAATTACTCCTTTTAATCCCATAAAAGTTTTGATGGTTTTGAAGCAACTGTTTAAAATTGTCTAAGTTTGAAACATACCTGTGTTTTTATAATGAATTGAAGAGGTAAAACCTACTACCATAAAAAGACGTTTAGAGTAAAACTTAAGAAACTTTGAAAATGTAACTTCCCAAGGTGTAGTAAAAGCTCTGAGAAAAATCTGTATCCATGGTTGGTATATCAACTATCGCCGTCTCCCTCTTTCTCTCTCCCTTTATATCAGTCTTCTCAACACAATATTCCCTATCTTTCACCATCAGTTGAAGATAAACATCAGCCAGCATTGAAATACCTTCTCGAAAGCAGTATGAACGATATAAAAAACCACACCCACAGAGTGATATATCACTATGACATAACCTTCTCATCATAAGTAAATATTTTATTGTTAGACTGATCAATGAAGTCGGTTTATTCGTGAGTAAAAAAAGACATTCTCGTGAAATTCCATTCATTTCAGAAGGAATAAATTCACCTTCATAAGACAACAGGCAAGTCATTCGTGGAGGCGATATTTTGCAGATATTTTTAGCATTAGAATCTAGGAAATACTTCTTTTTATTTCAAGTAATGAAGATATATAAATGTGCGTCGATGGCACAGCGGTTAGGACTCTCACCGACCATGCACATGGTCCGAGGTTCACTCCCCTGCCGATGCACACCTGATATCTATGGTTGGCCTGTGAAATTCGGGCTACCGATATCCATGCTGAAAACTCCATACTTGTACCAAAAAATACGGTGTGGATTTAAGCTGTAATCAAAAATAAATTAAAAAAAGAGAGAATTTAGGGCATCTACAGTTCTACCATATAAGGAGGAGACATCTGAGATCCCACATAGTAGGATTTTTAATAAAACTGGAATTAGATTGGTCGAATTTAAACCTACAAACTCATTCAGATAGGACAAGTTGTGTAAGTTAAAGGACCATGTCGTTTGACCCAATTAGACAAAATAATATAATTTACAAAATACGTTGCAATGACGGTGAGTTAAGTCAACTACATACGTCAAACTAGTAGACCAGGGTAGTCAAACTGTCGGAACGCAAAAATTTAGCGAATGTAAGAATGCTTGACCCCACCCCCTGAACATAAGTAATCAAGACAAAAGCTCAGCGATTGCACTGTATGCATTAAAACACAGCCACACAATAGGGTGGGAGAAGATTGAAATTCTAAGAAGTAATATAGGTAGGTGGAGAGAGAGATTGATTACTGAATTCTTGTTCATCGAGTCTACTCTCAACACATTCAATAAGAATGACTCATCACTCATACCGGAAATTTGGAAAATACTACTACCGATCCAGTCAAGCGATGAGAAATAATGGAATTATATAAACGAAGTTAGAAAGTTGTGTGAGTACCTTGATATGATTAAGAAAAGTGACAAAATGTGCTCGAAACGTGGTCATCAGTAAATACTACTTATTGTATAACACTGTGAGATTTTATCAAGATAAATCTTACACACAATGGAACCCTGTTAGAACTTCAAAGAATCAAACTGAATGTGAATCTCAAGCCTAAGGATCCAATGTTGGTTGGTGTGTAGGTCTATCTTCAAGTCCTCTAAACCTCCATAAACTCAACAATCAAAGCTTTATGTGACGTTTTGTGTGTACGCATGAATTAATTAATCTGTATACGTATGCAACTGTGATGAATGTCACGGGGTGTTTTTGAAGCCTTGATTACTTCATTCACTCTTTGTCTGCTTTCTAAGTAGTTCACTTTGAGCCTAGTCAGATTACTACTATTACTGTTGTCGACAGAGGATCCAGTGGAATCCTGAAGACCGAAAACTTGGGATATTCATGCTCTAACCACTGTCTGAGTGGTGACAACATTTCACACAGCAACATAGAAAAAGTTTCAACTCTTTTTATCCTTAATATATTGTAAGATACTGAAATGAGAAGTTTTGTCCGAACGGTATTAATCGTTGCATCATACGTAGCATAATTACACAAATTAAAATCATTCCGTACAGTGGAAAAGAATAAATATAATTTATCTCGGCTGGGCCCCCAGTGCGTTGGTGGTATAGCGGTTAGGACGCTCGCCGACCATGCACATGGTCCGGGGTTCGATTCCCGGCCGACGCATTCCTTCACCTCGCTAAGTCAGAAATAATGCTGGTAAAGAGGAAAGGTTGGGCGTGTGAGGCTGGCTAGCAGCCCCATCCTGTAAAATAAACACTGCTACAGAAACTTCAAGCCACTAGCTTGAAGCCTAATGTCCCACTGGGAACGTGAAGGAAAAAAAACACTAAACAAAATCTCAAGCGAAGATAGATTTGTCTATGAAGGAATTGTCAGTGACTGGAAGTAAGGCTTAAGATGTACGCTTCTCCCTCGATCATGTTTTGTCGGTTGATTGCATATGTGACAGGAGGATCTAAAGTTTTCCTACCAAGATTCGAACTAGTAACGCTTCTTCTTGAATGTAAACTGCTGTTTACATGATATGTACCGGTTGCATTCCACTGCCACATCCTCCAGCCACCCAACAGAGATAATGACATTAAAATCAGTTGAAGAATTTCTCGAATTCCTCTCCTAATGCTTCAAATCGCAATCCTATTTCATTCGTTCCATTATTTAAAACAAACATTTGTAAATTACAAGCACGTCAGACTCTTGTGTAGCGTGGCTATGAAGCACATAAAGAAAGCTCAACATTCTGAAGTCATAGTGTGGTGAGAGAAGGCTGCTAGCCAATTGATAGACATTAATCGACGCTGATTGGTAGATATTAATCTAGACTGATTCAACAACCAATCACAGCAGACTTAAACGTGGGCAAATATGATTCGCAGATAAATGACTCTACTTTCCGAGAAATATCGAAAACAACCAATCAGGAGACTGTGTTTGTCTGCTTAACTTCCGAGAAACAACCAATTAGAAGGCTGCCTTTTTCTGCTTGCATAAGCCTTATTTATGTACATAAAATATATATAAATACGCGTTGATTTTCGTAATGAAACGATCTGTTGCCTGGCCCTTGTCTTCTGTTGTTACAATACCTGTGTCGTCGGGAAGAAATACTCAAACCAACAAACGAAACAATCTATGTGTGCTTCAAAAATATGTAATTGGAAATGGTACATTTTAGAATACGATTTAAGCAAGCATATACGTATTTCCAGTAAATTCTCATCAGGCTTCATATTTATATAATGAAATATTAGTGGTCATAGGCATTTGAATTAATATAGTTAATCAACTACGGGATCAGAATTCAGGAATGTAAGCTGATGCATAACAATTGAGGGGATCAGAATAATAATAATAAGAATAAATTCATTCATGCGTTTAGGGTGACTATATTAGATGGTTGGATACAGGTAGCACCATAATGGCAAGCTACCTAGAATGGTGGCCACATTGCAAACCTGACTGATAGAATTCAATCTGCACCGAGCAAAGGACTAGACACATCACACCAGTTACTAATGTCCAATTAAATGGTGACTGTTCAGGTAGAATATGCATACTAGTGGGAGTAGAGGTGAAAATAACTAATGTCACATGGCGATTTGACTATATAATAGTGATTAAAAATTGTGAAACTCAAA